ACACACACACACACACACACACACACACACCACCTGTTCCTCATCACAAGGAAGCTCGAGCCGCACTAACAAGCATGACGTGTTTTTAACCTTAACTTCACAATGAGTCTTACATGTGATGACTTAAGAATTCAAATGAAAACACCAGTCAGCTGATCACTTAGTTACGCATGGGAGTCTGTGCGCCTTCCTGAGGGCAGCATCACTCTCTGGTTCTACGGAAAAACCTCTCATGTGGCTCATAGAACAAATCCCGCCCAGAGCTGGAGTGGCCTTCTCTTATCTCGGTCTATATATACATATATATGAATGGCACCACTCTGTCTTATTTCTGACTCATGTGTAGATTTGCCTCGATACAAACTCTGAGGCTTTAATTGCGCAGTTCCTGTCGCATTCCAAACGCACGCGTCCATTTCCAGGTCCTTTTCATTTTTTTCTATCACATGCAGACATCTAAAGGAGGCAGCTCATTAGAGGAGCTGGAAAATGATCAGATCAAGAGAAGAGAAGAGAAGTGAAGTGAAGTGAAGTGAAGTGAAGTGAAGTGAAGTGCCCCCCCCCATCACCACAGGAGCTGCAGTCTTTATGTAACTGTGCATATCAGTAAAACGCAGGATGTACCTCAGAGGACGGAGCAACAAAACAAGGAGCGCACGGTGGAGGCTGCAGCCAGTGTTATGCTGATGCTGATAATGATGGTAATAAGAGGGGGTCCGCTCAGTTGTGAAGCTAATGTGATGCTGCTGGCGGCAGCGGAAAGGGACGAGTGGGCCTTTTCCTCAGCCTGCATGCAAATGCCCGGGAGAAGTCTTGCAGAGTTGTATGTTTATTCATTCACACAGCATCGATTTGCAGACACGGTCGAAACTGGCGAGAAGAAAGAGAGCAGGTGATGAAGCCCCTCTCTTTTTTTTTTGTCTTCATTACATCCACGATGGAGAGTGTGTGACAATAACGACTGCAGGCAATTAGCGAGCAGGAGTCATCTCCAAATGTACTGGGCAGGACTGCTGAGGTTTATCTTGACACCTCGAGGTGAAGAGACGTGAGGTTACAGGGTGAAATCTGCAGCTTGTCACCAATGAGCAGTTTAGTTTTAGGAGGAAAAAGTGGAGCAACATGTGTTTTGGTTTTTTAAATGCACTGAATGACAATGGAGAATATTGAGATCTATTAAAAATCACAAGCAAGAGAAAAAGTAAAAGAAAAATGTATTACAAGAATCGAATTATGCAATAAAATTAGATGTTTACATCCTAAATAGAAGAAACAACGCACTCCTTCATTACAGTAGTGGAGAGAAATTAAAGTACATTTACACTATTACAGCCAACTGTTCTAGTATCACTCACTTCTACAGCAGTGGCTCCTGCCTGTGTATGAGGCTGTGTTCTGTTCTGTTAGTTCATTGTTTACTGGCTTTTTTTTAGTTTACCTATTGGAATGCATTGCATTTTACAAACTCCTCACAAGTTTATTTGGTGATTTCTGAAATTAGAAGAAGAATTGTTCAAATGGAGTAAAAGTGCTAAAGTAAGTCAAGTTTTTTTTTTATGGCACAATTCAACAACAAGGCAAATCAAAGTGCTTTCCATAGAATATAACAAACATAAAGACGAGAGCAAAAACACAAGACGACATAACAAATACAGATGTGAAAGAGTAAAATCAAAATTATAATTAAACATATTGAACAGTAGAATAGAATACAGAACAGTGAAACCCATAAATAAATCTTCTGAATCAAACAAATGAAAATACAATACTGGAGCGACTGTTCTTAGTTACATTCATCACCACCTTGCAATAAAGTTCATGCTCAGAGAGTCAGAATACATGTTTGGCCTTTGTGCGCACACATGGGACAACGGGCCTCCGGTCTCATCCATCCTCCCTGTCACACTCCGCCCTTGGAAATCTGCATCGTGTCGCTCTCATTTTTCTGTTTACAAGAGTCGGATTACTTCAACACACTCGTGAGAGCGAGAGAAAGAAAGAAAGAGCTGCTCTAAAACGGTCAAGGCGCACACATTTTTTACCCTGGTGGTAAATACCCTGTCTGTTGAACATCAACACGCTGTCATCCTGACGAGCTTCTCTATCGTTTTCTCACGTGACTCATCGGCAATATTCTTCAGTTATTTCGTGCCCGAGTGTAAAATCAGTCCATTACTTCTCGTCCTCAGAGAATCTGCAGAGAAACGTCTGATTGATTCTTTTTCTCCTCAACAGTGACATTTGAAGTTTGGGTGGTCTGACTAAATACTCTTGAGACGGCACCTTCCAAAAAAGCAAACCTTGGCACTGACAGAAACGCAGAGGGTGACTCCTTCAATGGCCTCTACAATTCTTATTCATAAGTGGCCACAGGCTGAATGAATATGAACATCGGGCGATGCCAAGTATAAATAGTCCTCGGCACCAGTGGTTCTACAAATGGGACTTGGAGCCCAGAGGATTGAGGAGAAAATGAGGAAAAGTTTATACTTTCACCATTTTCTTTGCCAAAATTGCTGGAGTTGAACGTGTGCCCAACGTCCCAACATGCAAAAGACAGGGCTGAGTGGAGCGAAGAGCCAACGACAGAGAGACTTTTTTGTTTTTGTTCGCCAAGGAAAAGCTTAGCAAATCAAGATATTAATACACTTTAATTCTCCATAATGAACTTTCCACTTTCATTATTTCATAGGCCAAGAAATCTATTTTTTATTGAATTGCTTTGCTGTGATTTCAAAACCTCTGCAGCTTCTACCTTAAAACAAATCCTCAGATAGTGCAGCCTGAGCCACTTGATCTATTCAGGGATTCACCAGAGTCGTTAAGAATCTCTTTCTCTGCCCATCTCTTCTTCTTCCTTTTTATCTCAGCACTTCATCACCTGCTGTCTTTAATTCATGCATGCTGTTTTCTCTCTCTCCCTCTCTGTTCTCCTGCTCTCTGTTGTTCTTTTGAAGTCTCGGGGAGTCCTGTGGTTTTCAAAGGGTCAGAAAAGGACAGGCCTACTGTCCTAGCGAAGGGAGGCCGCGGGATGAACGTATGTTACCACCTGTTCTCGCTGCTCTGTGTCAACACGACCGGTGTCACTGTACTCGCACCTCGCCATCCCACCCCCTGCCGCTCGTACATTGTTCCCTCACACACACACACCGAAATGGACGAGCGAGTGAGCAAATGCACACACACTCATGGGAGTGCTTAGGCCCACATACACACACAGGAACGGGCACATTACTACTGAAGGACCCCTACCATCTGACAACCGTCACACAGAGACAAATCAAGGCGTCCCGCTGCTAAAAGCCTACTGTTTCCTCACACTTCACATTATAGAGGACTGTTTCTGGCCCAAGCCCAAACCAGCGGGGGTTGTGTGGTTGAGAGAAAAGCCTGTGTCCTGGGGAGAGAGTCAATTGCAGGTCCGGGGTCACACAGAGATTGGAGAGAGGCAACCAGCAGTCCCTCAAGATGAAAAATTAGCCTTTCAATTGACATGTAGAGATCAAACCCCTCTGAGGAGTGGTGGTGGAGTTTTTTATGCTCCCATCGAAGAGCAAGTTTCATTCAGCTCCAGTGCCCAGAGGGAAACATCCCAGGATTCCCCAGATCTGGGAGGGAAGCCAAGGACGATCCAAAGCTAGAAACCACACCAGAGTCTGAGTCCGACACGGCCAGCTCCTCAAACTTCTGTATCACTTTCCTCACTGACCAGAAGGGAATCTCCCTGCACCACCGACCTCTGCTGGCAGCACCGGGCCCCTTGTAGGTTGAATCCTTACTGAGGAAGACATGGGGTGGAGGAGGTAGACCGCAGCGCAGCCTCAGGCGGCCCTGGCCCAGACCCAGAGCCGGGAGCACTCCGGCGGTGCCGAAGCGGGTAGGAAGTGTGGCTAGGTGCTCGTGGGTCAGAGGGTTGTGGAAGCTCAGGGCCCCCCCTCCAATGTTAAGGAAGATCCCAAGGCTTTTGATCTGGGGCGGGACGGTGTAGAGCGGCTCCCAGCTCCCATCATACACTGCAGAAAAATACAGGCCCTGCCTTTCCAGCCACCAGCCACCGCAACCATCCAATGGGATCACACCTGTCACAAAACAGAGTTTCATTATGTTCATATTAAATGTTATAAGACCCTTTTGCATTTTATTTGGTGCTATCATCAGGTCAAAACTTACTGTAACGTTATTTATGACCAAATATCTACAAAACTAAAGAAATCCCCATCGTCCTCAGCTGTAATCTACGTTGTGTAAATGCCAATTAGCAAATATTAGCATATAATGAAGATGATAAACAATGTGCCTGCTAAACGTCAGCATGGAGCGTCGTCACCATGATCATGTTAGCATTCAGCTAAAACCTCCTCTGTGCCTTAAGGTAGAATGACACAGCTGCAAGCGAGCTCACAGACTCTGACTGTCGTTCTCTGATAAAATGTGGAGGATGTTTAGTGACATGTTCACTTTTCATAGTATGTGATAATGTGTTTCTCCACATGGTGGCACTAGGAGCTAACACACATTAATAACGATGAGGTGGCTTTTCAGGTTGAGCCACAGTTGGAGCTTGAATATGATAACGCTGCTCAGACAGTAAAGCTTGGTAATTAAACAGAAAACCAGTGCACACTAACATCCTGTAAAGACCACATCACAGAGACTGTGACCTATGACGAACTTGTGTGAATGAACTGCTCAATGCCTCATGGCTGTAGCCTCATTGCAACAGTGCAGTGTTGTTACAACACAATTCACAAAGATTATATTCACACATATCAGTACATTTTGAAAAATTAAACACATTTTGGTTTGTATAATTGATAGGAAAATGCTGTATTCTTTATGTGCAATACTATTATGTAATAATAATAATAATTAATAATATGTATAATATCTATCTTTATAATAATTATTATACCTGAGGTTTGGTTCAATTGCAAAATACCAGTCTGTTGATGCCTGAAATCTCTAATGATAATGATAATTCTTCCATCCATGTTTAACTATTTCACAGAATGTACAGATATCAGATATGTTTTAATGAACTAGAATGAAATGACACACGCTAGAAATGTTTTTTATCAAGATCCATAAATTATTCTTGAGAATTCTGCAAAATTGTTGAAAAAATTCCCCTTCTCACAATGAAAGTGAAAACAAAACTTCCAGTTTTACCCCCTGAGTCACATCTGCACCAAAATTGAACAGTTTCTTTTTTGGGTGCCCCACCCCGCTAAAATGTGGAAATCGGTGGAGTAGTGTTTGGATAATCCTGCTCACTAACAGAGAAAAGAATATCAGATGAAGACATAACCCCCTTGACGGAGGCAAAGATACTCTAGTTCATTGTGAAATGAAATGAAACAAAAACATATTTCTAGTCAAACTAATGTCGAACAAGTTGCAGATATTTGGGAAAAACTGGTCCAACACCAAGGAAATTGCTTTTTTGCTTAACTTGTGGTTGAAGGTCTTTCAGTGTTCCAACCAGTTGGTGGCACTATGACCTGAGTTGTATGATGACGTGTACGTGTGTGTTTACAAGTGTGTGTCTTCATGTGAGTGTGGGCCTTGCTGACTAATGTTGAGGGTTTCTGGAAGCAATCAGCAGCACTGGCATCAAACCAACCAACACAAAGTGAAGTGAGCGCTCACCAATCCTGTACACGGAGCTGTTACACACATCCACCTCCCAGTAATACTGTCCCCGTGCAATGACTACATCAGCGCACACCTGCGGCAGGACCAACGGGACCATGGGGTCAGAGGTCATCGTTGGCCCTCTGACCTTCTCTGGAGGTGGGGCAGCAGGGCCTCGGTAGGTGACAGCGAGGGAGCCGTTAGAAAGAAGTAGGGATGGAGGGACGCTGGAGGGATCCAGAGCAAAACACAGTCCTGAAGAAGAGCAGAGGTGAATGTTTAATTAACCAAAGACATAATTAATTTTCTTTACGCATGAACCTACATTAAATGTGTTTTGTTTGGGGATTAACAGCATCACATCTTTACCAAAGACAGACTGCTCCATCTCCTCCTCTCGCAGGTCTACATCGCCATCCACTGGTGGTACTGGGGAACTGGCAGCATTAGAGCCTGGTTCAAACAGGGGGAAGGGAACACAATAGAGTTTACCTGTTGACAGTGAGGACGACATGGTTTGTTTCTAGAAACTGCTGAGGCCAACAATACATCACCAGACTCACCATGTAAACAGCGGTGTGCTCTCTCCTCAGCTGAATCCCTGCAGTGTGAGTGACCCTGTAAATACAGTGACAGCGATGGCATGGAACTTAGAAATCTTGTGAAAGCAATTAAACAATATGCAAATACTATTTGTCTTTTTTTCCCAGTGGAGATGATTATAACTAGCATTTTTAAGACAGAGCCTCAGAAGTTCAGTAATGAACACACTATGTCTTCTTTGTATTGTATTAAATCCAAACTGTGAAGACAACAAGCTGAGAGTGTAGATAAACACACTTTAAAGGTGGTGGTGGATTTAGTGTCCCATGTTTGTGAGTCCCCTTGTGCCCCGTCTTTTTGTTGGGGGACTTTATATCATTTGCTCAATGTTTCTAAAATCTCGGTTGTGAATAGGCACATATTAATATTTGATATGTAACTTCATATGCTTTAGATATCTCTCTTAAATTCCACTGGTACGTTTATTCTAATAAGCTTCTATCACAGCCTCATGATTATGCCGCCCACCTTTTCACTGTGATTGCATGATAATCTTTAAATGCTGACTCTTTAAGTTTGGATTCCTCACCTGCACATGCTGACGGTGATCCTCAGATGCTCCCTCCGTGGTGCCCGTCCCCCTGCTGACACGTGCAGGACTCAGCGTGGGATGTTTTGGTAAACAGGAAGTGGCAGACGACCAGGTCCCACATGGCAGCTCCACAGGATGTCGGCAGCTGGGGCACAGCACAGAGCAGACAGAGAGGCCGACGCGGCGGTGGAGAGACTGACCTGAGCTTGTTCTCTCTCCAGCAGCTACGCACTGACCACACATGGTGTGAGAGCACGGCAGGATCAGTGCCACATCATATTCTTGGCTACAAGCTGGACACCGGGAGACTGGATGAAAAGAGTCCTTTTCCTCATCTTCCTCCCCCTCAGCCTTTCCCACATCCAGCTCCCTGCACATTATTTGGGGACACAATATCTTCACTGCCATTTAAATAACTTTGTTACTCGCCTTTGCTCCTCTCATTTCCTCCACTCCAAGTGCTTACATGCTTCATTAGACACCATCCAATCAAGGGAAGTCCAAGTAAGATGAGGAAATTCTGATCCTAGCTAGGACATAAAACCTAACGGTGTATATCCATCAGTAAGCAAGGCCTCAGTCAATCCATTCTCCAAGAAAAGTGAAGATCCTCTGGCTAGAAATATCACATGGATGTTCTTGTGGGCAGAGACATCCCACAGTGTTCAAAACGGCAAAGCTCAGTGTGTTCTAAGGATGCACACGGCTCTGTTGAACAGATATGAGGAGATCCTTCTGTTGCACCGTCCGCTCCGTCTGTCTATTGTGTGTGAAGCAGGAGGCTCGGCCTGAGCTCAGATAAAAGAGAGAGTGAGTGGGAGAGTGAGGGAGAGAGGGGCTAGAGAGAGAGAGGAGCCCAGCCTTTTCACTAAGTAGTCATTGCTTGGGGTTACCATGGTAATGGCTCGTCTCATAGAGACGCACAACTGCAAGATAATGTGCTGCAAAGAACACTTGTGCACACACACATCTGTGACAGCTCATTACTGCCATGAGCACGAGCTCCACCACTTAGACACAACACACACACACACACACACACACACACACACACACATTATCTATGAGGACTCATTACTGTCATGAGCACGAGCTACACCACTTAGACACAACACACAAACACACACACACACACACTGATTCGAGTTCTCCTCCTGGTCCTTGATGCCCTGCTGTCATGTTCAGTCGAGCCTCCCTCATGTAGGACTGGAACACCGAGTGGTGCACCTCCAGGACGACATTATGTGAATGTCAAAGATATTTGTCACAGCTCCTTGTAATTCCCTGCTGGTGAGGGGACGGCTCGTCGTCACACTCACCTCTCCTTGTCTACAACGTTGGGGGCATGTCTGGAGTCAGTGCAGGGAAGACTCTAAAAAATGTAGTATATATATATATATATATATATATATATATATAAATACTCACTGTTTGGATCATGAGAGCAAAGAGTTTTTGATTTCAGAACCAGGTTCAAAGCCAACCATTGAAGCTCACAGATTGTGGTGACAAAGGTGACCTTCAAACACATTGTGGAATATCATTCTTGATCATCTGTATATATATATATATATATACAGATGATGATGATGATGATGATGACAATTATTGTCTTGCTAATATAATTTTAACATATCAGCTGAAACTCTTACTCGTGTACATCATGATTTAAAACCGATCAATCAATATTTTTACTCAAACAACAGTGAAAGGAATCACTTATAGTGACGAAGCCAAGGAGAGTTAGCACCCTGCTGCATTTCCCATCAGCTATGGAGCTTTCACTGTCTTTTGTCTCTTTAGACTTCCAGCCTATAAACTTTGAAAGAAACACTCGGCTAAATGACCCATGAAACTCTCTAAATTACCTATAAAACACAAGCTGTGTTATTCTGTTAAGTGCAGGTGATGTTACACTAGAAATGGTTACATTTATGTTCGCCCAATAAAACGGTGTGAAACAGTCTAATGCAAAACACCGTCTGGTTGGTGGAGAACAAAACAGAGCAAAAGCAGAGTGAGTGTTGGACAGACATTCATCAAGTACATGCTTATATTGCATCATGTCTGCAGAGTCTACGAAATCAAGCAACTACTTGCATTCACCCTATCAACTTTATAATTATATTTTCCTATGTTGTAATTCTACTGGCACCTACCTGTCCACTTTGTACATCTAATGAATCCCTCGTCTGTGGCTGTCTCTAAGTTTTGTTTTCGGGACAAGGGAACTGTACATTGTGAGAAACAGACAGCTTTTAAATCCCTTTGACGCTTGTCCTCTGCACCACCTCTGCACACACATAAGACAACTAAGTTGGAGAGACGGAGAACCACATCAAAAACAATCCGACTGTTATCAACACGCTTCACATTCATGAATGCCAGGGCCATTTTTATCTCCAAAATCTATACAATACTATCCTAGAGTCATGCTGCCAGCATGGCTAAAAACAGAAACACAAATTAACCCATGAACAGGTTTTTTTTTTAATGTAGAGTCATGTGTTTTTGCTTCAGATTCAAAGATAACATATAACCACATGATATTAAGCTAAGTGAAGTCAATAACTACTTGAATGGTGCCAGGACGTTTTCATAAAAAGGGGTTTGGGATATTTTAAGTTAAAGCAATGTGACTGTAATGCTGTTTCTGTCATTTGACTTCATCTGAGCTAATTTGGTTGTGAAATTGTATTTGGTTAAACAAGAAAAACTTTAGTGAGGTAGTGAGTTTCATTTACTGGTCATACTACTTCTTGCAGCGTATAATCAAAACTGTGACTGTAGCACCCTCCGGTGGCATGTGTTGAATTAAGCAGTGGACCGTTGTCATCCAGAAAAGGATCTCGTCTCCATCTTCAGCTGTGGAAAGTTGGCAGATGTTACTGTACATTTTAAACTTTGATGAAGATGTTGATATGAATATAAATATGAAACATGAACATAAAATGCACTTTATGATTGTGGTAAAGCAGAATTTCTCACTGTGTAATGTTAATCATTACAACATTTTCTGAAAATTGTACAGAAAACAAATAAAATGTTGCACAATTCACTCAAATCAGTGTATGCACAATTATTTGTAATCTTACAAAAGATGCAAACATGTACACAGATGTTGTTTTTGTCTCCATTACACTGAAGATAAATCACACATTTGGAGCAGTGAACCAGGATCCAGCTCCAACGAGCTGAAGAATGCGGTTTCCTGATTGGTCCAGCCCACTCGGTCATATGACCCAGAGCAACAGGCTGGAGACATCATTGGAAACATGGGACCAGGCTGCAGGCTGATGTGTCAAGCTAACATGCACAGACACGCAAAACAAACGGAAATTCAATGATTTATTTCCAAAACAAAGACATGTAAAAGTATTTCTGATGCACATTTCACATGCATGGTTTGTCATACACTATTTGTGAATCATAATGAATGACTTAAAAAAAAGAATTATTAATACTTTCTGAGTGCCTTGGCAGATATTTATCTGGCATCACTGATTTCTTTAGAGCTGATTGTATTTTTGCAAAGACCATGATTTATATATTATATTGCAGTTTGCATATGTTACAGCAACAACACAATTTGCATAGAATTTTCTCGATATGCATATAACAACAATAATAACAATACTACTACTGCAGTTAATAATTAGTATTATTTGCAATTTTGCACAAGACATTGCACATTACATCTCCTATGCACATTGTTTGAATTGCCGTCCTATTTCACATTGATCGGTCATCTGTTATCTTATTCTTTATTTTTATTATTTTATATATATTTCTTCTTTTTTTCTTTTTATATTAGTAAGCATAGTTCTTTGGTCGGGCAGTTGCAAAATAAGAATTTCATTACCCAATAACAAACCGCTGTGTCTGTTATTGTGTATATGACAAATAAACATCTTGAATCTTGACTATTATACATAACTAGTACAAACATGAAATATAAGTCAAAGTCAGCTTTATTGTCAATTTCTGCAATACATACACACACAATTTAAATTTCTCCCCATCAACACAGATTTAAGTAATAAACAGTAAACACTGAATAAAAAATATAAGAAAATATTAGAAACAATTGAAAACATCAAAAAAATTGAAAAAAACAGTCATGAAAGGATAAATAAAAGAATAAATAATGGTGAAAATCAAAAGTATAATTTCAGCTCCTCCTCAGGGCTCTTATTTCCACAGCGCGGGTCTGTGTTTTATACTGAAAGTGGTAACCGGAAGCCGTGCTTGTTGTCATGGCTGCAGACATCACATGATGTCCTCCTGAGGAGTTGGACCAGGAAACTATCTCAAGAGTTTGAAGTCTGACCGGATCACGTCTGACATCTTTAAACCGTGTAACGGTGCCGCTTCTCTGAACATGTGACTCCACCACCGGGAGACACTCCTGTCACCGACCGAAGCACGTCCCTGCTCCGCCATGTAGGCGGGTAGGCTCGACTCTGTTCACCGGTGTGCCTTCAGGACGCGTCCGTGATAAATCCTCCGAGGGCGAAAAACAACAACAACAACAACAACAACACTTTTAATAACGTGTTCCGGGATTTTCTTCACTTTTCCTCCTCCAGGGAATTGATGAGGTTGTGACGGAGCTCGCTGCTCCATCCGCAGGTTTCCACCATGACCGAGCGGACCCCGCTCCTCCACTACCGCCTCTCCACCAGCGTCAATGAGTCCGCGCCTCGGACGCCTCCAGCGGGCCGGCCCCCGGAGCAGCACCCGGGCAGCCCCAGGCAGAGGCCCACCCAGCAGGGGCAACCCAAGAAGCTGTCCACGTTCTTCGGCGTGGTGATCCCCACCCTGCTGTCCATGTTCAGCGTGGTGGTGTTCCTGAGAATAGGTGAGCACCGGGGCGGTCAGCTTCAATCACTGCAGGTCTCTGATAGAAGAAAGTAAGATTCTAAGGACTCAGTGGTGACATTAATCTGGTATGGTTCTGTCTCTCTATCTGAATAATCCTGGATGGATCACTGCAAATGTTTACTCCACAAACTCCACCTAAAGTATCTGAATTGTTTTATTGACTCAGTGTTCGTTCAGGTGATTAAGACTGACGAGTCAATAAAGTACAGAGGGACCTTTAAACTCTAAGGCCCAGTTTCTACTAGTCTGCATGAATGGACCCTGTTTGATTCCTCACATCCGATGTGATGGAGATTAAATAATGTTAGTCTGACAGAAACTGAAACTCGACATAGGTAAAGTCAGGGAATGTGGTACAACAGATGTTTGTTTTAAGCTTTGATTCAAAGGAATCTACTCACTCCGCCTGATGTATTTCCTCGGGCAAAGTGTTCCAGAGCCTCTGGGTTGTTATCTCAAAATGCTCTGTCCCCCCAATCTACAGTTAAGGCCCCTGATAGAGTTTATCAATGTGTGGGGATAAGAAATAAGTGCCTTGTGAGTAATTAAAGAATCTTTAAATCAATATTAAAATGTTCTGGAAGCTGATGTGAACAGACAACCTGTTTACTCTGTTTAAAAGCCTGGGAGTGAAGTTCTGGACTGTATGAAGCCAGTCTACAGATTCCGTTGCAGTAATCCAGGTGTCCTGAGATAAATGCATGTAAAAATAGTTTGTGTATGTTTAAATGTTCATGTAGAACAAACTCTGTTCCTGTTGAATAGTGAGTGCACCAGACCGGAGTTTGTCACTTAACACATTTTAATTATTCAGTGAGAACACAGGCAGAAATGTCTTTATTTAATTTCCACTTTTTTAAAATAGATATTAAAGTCCTTCACACAGTTCTGCATGTAACCTGCAAGATGGATGAATTCTCCCAGTCGGCAGGAAAAACCTTTCTCCTTCTTATTTACGTTCACTGGATGTGAGTTCTCTTTAATTCTGAATCATCTGTTTTCTTTTGCAAAATTGTTCTTACGTCTGCAGATGTGTCGTTACAGGAAAAAGAGGAGCTGAAGATGCTCAGGTTTTTGATCATTTGAGTTATACAATATATTTTACTTGTAAGGTTTACCTAGAAGTGTTATCTGTAGGGAACGTACATGGTTTCTACTGGTAAAATCCTTCTTCTCGGTGCGGGGGAACTTGAAGTGGTTCATTTAGAGGAAGTATTCTTGGTAGTTGTGAGTAATATTGTGTGAGTTCAAGGAAAAGTACCTGAAATCACTCATTTTTTGTTCACGTCACCAAGAGGGTAAAAGTTCAGTTTTTCTGTGGCGGGGAAAAAAAAGCTGCAGATGTAAAACTATAGTAATCATAATGTAATCTGAGGTTTGACATGTCTGCTGGTAGAGCAGCATGAAAGAGACCAGTGAAAACTGTGAAGTAAACATTGTGTCATGATAACAAATGTATAATTTCTTATTTTAAAAGTGTGTCATTCAGCAGTGAAAGACGTCTCTTCATCCTCTTTTCTGTGTTCCAGATATTTAGATGCTGCACTTGTGTGTGTTTTTGCTTCGTTTTGTATCTTGTAAGTTGTTTTCTAACTCCCTCTCATTCCCCTCCACCTCCGCTGCCCCACAGTCTCGTGGGATGTCAGCTGCTGTGCTGCGGGCACGCATAGTGCGCACACGCACACGCACACACACACACAC